TAGGTTTTCTGAGTATTCTAAAAAAAAAAAAAAAAAAAACCGATTCATTTGGAACCGTCGAACACTGTACGCTAACCGATTTATCGGGATCTAAAATAATGTTTTATACGGTCGGATCCGTTTTGTTTTGTTTTTATTATAATTTTCGATACTCGTATTCAACGCTTACTGATGAACTTCGTGTAGTTTTGTCGCTTCGCAATTCCATATCGCAATATAGGTCAATCAATGTGTGCACGGAAAGATTAAAATAAATGTAAGTATTATTCCGCAAATAGTTTAATTAAAATAATCAAAAGCCATGATGACGTATTTATTCGTGCGATAACACGGCCGTGTTATTATTATATTGTACGAAAGCAGATAAATTGTTTGCGTTAATTTGGGTTAATAGACGAAAAACGTTGGCAGTGTTATCCAAGTACTACTCGTTTATACGACCTGCACCTACTAGCGTACGATTATACATAGTGTTATAGTTTCGACTCATTATGTCAACGGAAATACATTGAAAAAGACCGTTTATTGGAGTAATTAGTAATTGTGAATACAATATGCGCCCTCAATGTCGAGCAAACACAACAACTAACGCGATTACACATAGTTTAATGTATATCATGTGTGGAACAAAACGATTTAAATTAAGCTGTCAGCTGGTATCATTATAATAGTTCAGAATTTACATGAAAATTGTGATTCTAAAAAAAATAAAAACCGAGAAGAAATTTAATCGATTACACGGAATAAATTGGTTACTCTATACTAAACGATCACAATGAAAACATACTTATAAATTAAACTACAGTTTTTTTTGTTTTTATATTATATATACATTTTATTTGTTTTTTTTTTTTTTTTTGAGTGTTATAATACAATAATTGTATTTATTGTAAATTTATATTTATATTTATTGTAATTGTATTTATTACAGTTATTGTAATTTTCGATTTTCTTAATAAACATATGTATAGCAGAAAATCCGTTATCACAGTATCCATTGATTCGATAATGTTACAGACCAAAGTTTGTAATATTACTTTTAAAAACGGATTTATGGTTTTACATGAATACATCACTACGGTGATAAATTATTAAATATTAAAATTATCGATCTTGTAAACTTGGATATTTTGATGAATCACGCTACGATAAACGAACTAAAATACTGAAATAAATCACAGCACAAAAATAATTGTTAATAATTATTATCCAAAACGATCTAACGAATTAATCAATACCCATCATGAATTAAATATAATGTTAACGAGTTTTTACGATATCATAACGATAATTTCGAAAACGACAGCGTTTTCAATTCGTTCGGAATAGAATTTCGTACTTTATGGGTCAAATGAGTGTTTGCCTAATCGCTGTACTTAAAATATATACTTTAATAATATGTAAAAGTATACTTATGTAAAGTATTCTATATATATATATATATAATACGGATGTACAATTACATCGTACAGGCGCATGCGATGTGATCGAAGATTTGAATAATTTCGATCCATATTGTATATTCGAGTACCAACACGGCTACATCAATCAAGTGCGTCGAACACATTTTACATAAAATAATACCGTATAATCGACGAAATCGTCTTTTGTTGTCCGGCTGCTGTTGCACCAACAACGACGGTAGCAGACGCGTATAGCTACCACCCCCGTGTCAGAAAACGTGTAGGTATACATACGAATATAATACGTTATATACGCGCACGAATAACGAGGGAATGCCCGCGGTTATGCAAATGCGGTACCTACCACCGAGAAATGGAGGTTTTCGTATACAGCAACAATATGCATATTGTTATGGTATCCCAACGCGCGAGCGCACATCTCCAGGGACGGTTCGTATTATGATTTCCGTCTGCATTGTGTACATTATTATTATTATTATTATTAGTAGTAGTACGTACGCGTAACAACGTAAACGGATAACGAGGAGTAACGGGTAATTTATCAATCGTTGTGCTATGTTCCACGTTTACAAGACTGACAAATGTACTCGCCCCTACTGAAGTAGCCCACGGCACCTACACATAACGACGACGACGACGACGCGCGCACAAGGGATTAAAACGGACGGTCAACACAACACATTACGGTCTCGACGCGCGGTGGCAGTTATTTTTTCCTACCGCCCGAATATGCATATTATTATATTATTCTGTCCGAAACGGTGCGGTGTGCGCGCATCACTGACGCTTGTACATAAATTACCCAAACGCACTTGTCTTACATCAAAACGATCACCAGGACGTAAGCGACAGCGTACCTATACGTACGGCATATTTACGTTATATTTGTATACGCGCGTATACCGATAATGATGTTGAACCGCATTGTGAATCTCGTTACACGGTGGCGGTGGCGGTAACGGGGCAAAGAGAATACAATGCGTACGGGAACGAGTTGCGAGCACGTCGCGAAAGGATATCATAACATCACATTTATACCTCGACGACGAGCCCGGTTGGGTCGACACCCCTACGGGCAATAGGGTTTGCAGAAGAGAAAAAAATCACAGCGTGATTCGGTTATATATATTTATTATATACACACACACACATTTGCTCACCGTGTGACGTTTTTCTCCTTCGCGGACAATAGCCTCGAGGAAGGAGAGATAGAAGAAAAAAATAAAACGTAAAAATACTCCTCTCGTTTATTTACAATGAATTGTGCACGGTTGGTGTGTGAGTGCGTGCGCAAGTAAAACACACATACAATGATACACACACACACACACACACACAGGAGACGGCCAAAGTATTTAGCCACAATATATACCTGTATAAATGACGACGATCGCGCGACGCAACCAATGGGGCGCGGTGTGAGGTCCTAACGCGCATGGTTTTTATCATCTTTCACTATCGCTCTCCGTCTCTCTCTTTCTCTCTGTCCTCGAGCAAGGGACAATAGCCGCTTGTATTATATGCCTTTTAACAACGTCAAAACACACGCGCACATACACGTATTATTATATTGCTACTCTCGTGGATCTAACACACGCGCGCACACACGCACACGTAGGTACAATGATATAATATGTTTTATACGCGCGCACCCATAAGGACAGAGTTATTTCTCTCTGCCTATCCCTCTCTTGCACGCGCGTGTATCGAACGCGCGATCAAGTCTCCTCCGAAAGAGCATTTGAGGAATTCACAGGAACTATTAACTTCGACCGCGGCAGCCGTACGTTGTATTATATAGGCGCTCGCGCGCACACGTAACGTACAAAAGACACACGGCGTGGAGACCTACAGCGTCGAGATCGCGACCGGTAACGCACGACCAGAATGATCGATGTGTTGACCCCATCATCTGCCACCGCCACTTTTACCGCCACTTCGTCCCCTTGTTATCAGCTGCGGTGATATCGCGTAGCGTTGTATTGTTCGCGATATTAGTTTATACGTAGATACATGTACAGGCGCACTCGCCGGGGAGAACAGTCGTAAGAATATTGAACGACGTGTCCCCGTGTACATGTGCTCCCACGTTTGTCCGCATTATTCCGGTCTCGAGTTCGACGATTACTTACAATATCTGCCTATAGTGTTACGTGTACAGGTACGCCATTTTTATTTATTTATTTTTTTTTTTTTTGATATAATATTATGTACGGTCACCCCATGTGTGTGGCATACACTCCCCGACCCTGCCCGTACGTGTTTTGTAAAGGCTTGGGGGCGAAACAGTACCAAGTCTAAACACGACTGGGTTACGCGTATTACCGGGTTTATTTATGTACAATTCAAACGGCCGCCGCAATCGACCCGAGTCGATGTAATATAGCTGTATAAATAATAAATAAATTATTACTGTTAGCTGCTCGTTTCGGGAAATCAATAGAAACATCGTTAATAATAAACGACTAAACTACGCGAATTAGTCTCCACAGCGCAATTATAATATCCTAGACTATGCCGTACACGCGTAATACCATACTGCGGTATACCTCCGTACATCCGTATGGAATATATATCATTATATATATTCTATACGGATGTATATGTATATAATGGTGCACGGGGTAAGGTTTTTTTTTTCACCCCCGTTTCACGCGTCTTTTGTCGAACTCGTCAAAAATGTATACAATCAATAATCCGGTATAAGCCAGTTGTATACACGTGTACATTACGCGATGCAACTACAGCTCTCCAAATGGTTCGTTTATATTTTCTTGCAAAATTTATCGATTTCACGATGACTTCGGGTATGCGTGAACACTATTGCGCACTGAAATTATTTATCGGAAACGTTTGGATGGTATTCGAAAGTGCTCAGACGATTATAATTCAAAAACATTCTTTTACACGCTCGTACCAATCGGTGTTGGTGTTTTAAACTGTTGACCACACCACACTAAAGTGATATTATTCCTTAAAATTACGTATTAATTAAAAATCAAGAGCTGCGTATCGATAAAGTGTAATAACGTACTATTTTTATTACGTCAAATGTATACTTAGTATATGTACTGGGTAGTTAAACTGCATAATCATAATGCGTAATGTAATACAGCTCGAGTTTAATTGAATTTTGTATCATAATACTCTACATGCAAATGAAACAAGACTAATGCGTATGAGATGGGAAATCATCTAAACGAAAATACGTTGCTGAAGTAATGATATATTATTATATCATCAATGTAGATAATACAATGTAATACATGCGTATAAAATATGAGCATCGAATATAAATGAAAACTAGAACATTAGAAGCGCATATACGGCATCGAATTTATTTTGTGTTTGAATAAATTATTATTCATCGTTGAATCGTTTCAATATTAAAACGTATACATTTATGATATGATGCTATCAATCCACTCATATTTTACGGATACTAAATTTATGGTTTGATTAACGATCGATGGCCAATACATGAAAACAATATTTGAAATGTTTCGTCATGATTTGATCAGTACATATACGGAAAAAGTTCATAAATATACAAATGGATCAAAAGTATACACATACCTTCCAGTTTTAGTGATGATCATTTCTGTGCCTAGTTCGTGAAATTTGGTCCAGAGTTCTTTTGAAACGGATTCGAGGTAGCATTCGGTGGACACTAAATCTGGGCTGGTACACTTTGCCAACATTGTCGACAGGTTTTTAGACGGAGCCTGTGCTGAATCGTGCGGAGGAGGTGTCCTGTCTCCATCCTCGGAGGACGCGCTAACCGTTTCTCTATATTTCTTTTTCTTCGAGCCACTTGTTCCACCATTTTGCTTCCCCGTGCCCGTGTCTATTGAAGACCGGTGATGATAACGGCTAGAAGCCAAATCTTCTGGTTCCGACGTTTCGACAACGTCCACTTCGATATCCAAATCTTCAGTGCCGCCCATTGAACCTTCGCCTTCGGTGCCTGTAACACGTAATTCAACGTCTATAACATACAAATATTTATAGTTACATTGTTTGTGTATGTATATGCAAATACGACTTACATACATCATGTCGTATTACGAGTACTAGCTGTACACAAATAAATACTAACGTCAGATGCTAATAAGGTGATAAGTACATCGAAACCGATTACAATATAATATCTATTTACCGTATTAAGGTTATAAAAAGTACCTAAATTGCTGACAATTTGTTCAAAGGAAAGCAATTTAGAAACTTCTAATAATTATAAACAACGTACATACGTGTATACGTTGTATACGATATGAATATTATTATAATTATGTATACGTTCCATTGCACGATATACAGTTGTGATATTTAAATTATATTTCGATAGAGTTAAACGATTCGGTTAAAATAATAATATTTAATTAAAACTGATTCGACTAATTTGGAATTATCGGTAAACGATAATATATACAGACATCGCTTTTGTAGTACAAAGTTATAATTACCGAAATGATTATAAATCATTATTAAAACGTTATTCGTGTATTATATATAAATATTATTAAGTATTATTAATATTACTACGTCACTATGCGGTTTTATCGGTGTTGTGAAATTGTGCCCTAAGAATATTTGGATATTATTATGTATAATTAAAATGAAATATAATGTGTTAAAAATCGTAATTCGAACAGTATAATAGAACAAATTAATTTTTAATTCGTACCGTTTGAAAGGTCAAAACAATCTAACGTTTTGCATGAATGTATGCGCAGATCCAGGCTCTAATGGCGTAACGATAAAATCAATAAAATAATAGTTGTGAGTACAATTATTGTAACAGTCTGAGAAGTAGCCCGTAATAATAACGAGTAAAACGAACAATGGAATGGAATCAATTTACGAGTATACGTCAACTGTACGTATTACAATCGGTGTAAACCTATAACGTACCGGGATCAGCTGGCGTATACGTTTGAAGTTACGACTAACCGTGTAAAGTACGTTCAACAGATAAATCGCCATAAAAATATAGCCGCGCGGCATCGTTTGCAAACGGCACGTAAAGAACCAAGTGCAATATGAATTTCTGCTGGAATCGAACCGCGCGCGACGGTGCAGGCAAAACATTCCATGGGTACGCGGATTATTTATGATTCCTCCGGGGTTCGGGCTCTTTTCGAAATATTGCAACGGCAACGGGGTAGCAAAGGTACAAAGTAAACAGACAATTGTTTACGGGTCTACTCACCGAACACGATGTTTTGCCTGGACTCGGCGGCGTCATCTTTGCGCATAATGGCGTCGATCGAAAAGTCCGTGGGCTTCTTGATCGCGCTCGCGGGATGCTGCTCCTGGTTGGACGTGCCCATTATCATATTATTGTTACCGGCCGGGTCCTCTCGGCGCGTCCTTGACGCGACGCGCAACAGACGGACCGGAATCCGCGGGACGGTTGACGCGATACAGTTACTGGTCTGAGCGTTTGGCGCGACGCAACGAGTCCTACACGGTGCGACGGTGGACGGTGAGCCGGTCGGACTTGGCGATCATCGTTCGGCTGATAACACTGCCGCTAAGAGTCTAGGGCGCCCCGACGTGGACGGGTGTGGCAAGCGGACGGCTCGGTCGAGCGAATGTTTACCGCACGGAAAAGTTTGAGTACAGAAAAATGTTATGGAAAATAAGAACGAGATGAAACTGAAAAACAAATAAAAAAACCGGTACAATATGATTTTATTGTTGTTGTAAAAACATATGCGCCCGTGACACGACCGCCGCCGGAGACTACGTCGTCGACTCTGCTGCGCGTACGCCGTGTGTGTGTACGACCGGTCGGGTTAACGTGGCGATACTGGTACGGCGCGGCCAGTGCGCAGGTCGAAGCGACGGCGGTGGCGGCGGTCCCGGGCCCTGCCCACGACGGTAGATCGGCCGAGAGGACGCCGGGCGTGGCCACTTGGTATCGATCTCGCCTCAGCGCGTCCCCACCGGCTGGGCGTGGCCTCTCGCCCTATCCCGCGCCGCACTCGCCGCGCACCCGTACCCGCCCCCGAACCGTTCCCACCGCCACGGCGATAATGTGCTGCTCGCCCGTTGTTGATTTTCTCCGGGCTTTCCCCCTCCTGCCAGTGCCCCGATCCTTTCCACTCGATCATCACCCACCCCCTCAACACCGTTTCTTACGACCGGTCTATATACATCATTATGTACTCCGCTGCACAGCCGTTTCTTCCGTATTTAAATATATTACGCGCCGCGGCATAAGTCCGCGTATCCGACAGCCACTACGAAATCGTTCCCATCGTTTACAATAACAATAATAACGTATTAATCCATACGCGCTGAGGGGACCGCAAAAATATTTTTAGAAAAAAAAAAAATTAATAAAACTGTTACTCGCTTTTTTTCCTTTATTTTTTATCTATTTTACTATTACTTGTTCGTCATTAACCTTTTCGATTAAAAAATAAAAAATAAAAGGCCAATTCGAATGATTGAAAAATTTATTAAAAATGTGTATGCTTTTTTTTTTTTACAATGTTAAAAAGATTTGTAAAAAAAAAAAAACATATGAAAATGTATTTATTTTTATTTTGCTCATTTCTTCCATATTCTTTCCATTGTCTGTTTAACCGAAGAGAGAAATTCATGAAATTGTTAATAATACATATGAACGGGGCGAAACATCTCAAGAGGTTATCGGGACATGAACCGGAAAAACAAAAGATACTTCGGTTTTTAAACGTGAAGCATGGTTTATTGTTTATTATTGTTCATGATTTTCGTTGCATTACCGCACGGAAATCAAGAGTATTTCTCTTTAAAAATCGTTTTACGGTCCCTCGTTCGACGATCGTTTCGAATGTCGTTCATTCGAATTCGTCCGCGGTGCACAAGTGTGTGTGTTAGAAGAACGGGAACAAGTGGGTAGGGCCTGCTCAAGGTATAGGCGACAAAGCACCTGCCTAGAGCGGCACATTAGTAGGGGTGACATTTTCAAAATTGACTATTACATTTTTTTTTAGTTTTATCGGTCTTTTATGAGAAAAATATTTAAATCAATTCATTCGTGAAAATCACTTACCAATAATATATAATAAAATATTATCGTCCCAAGTTATTATATTACTTTATATTAAGGCCTACGCTGGGCGTTTTCGATTATTCCAAAAATATAAATAACCACTGCCGCGATTGAGTAATAATTATAGAAATCATTTTTAGGTTCATTTAATTTTATACATACAATAATAAATAGGGTGAAGGGCCAAGTTAAAATAAGAACTAATTTTTTTTTTTTAGCGGTGGCAAAATTTGATTTAGCTTAGTACACTATTTTTGCTTAGGTCATCCCTGCCAGTGGATTAGATGTTCTCCGAAACGAATTGTAACACGCAGTACACGGTCGTTTTCCTATCCGTGTCTCGTGTTGTCCGCCACTGCCGCACCTGTCGTCCGCCGAAAGTCCACCGTCGATGTCCTTAGACATACTCCTCGTCGCAATGGCGTACGCGCATGGCGTTTGCACAGCGTTGTTGGCGATATTTATACGATATTGTTGTTTACGAACAATATTTATCACTACAGTTATCAATAAACGTTCCGATGTTCGCCATGTGTGTTTCGGACGGTGTTTTCCGTACGCGTTTTTCAGTTTACGGTTTTTAAAAATCAGTTTGTAAATACACGCACCTATACGTGAATCGTGTATAAGTACATGTATAAATATGTGTGTGTGTGTGTGTGTGTGTGTGTGTAAATCTACTGTTCATTTTTACGGATTTTTATACAATCATACACATAGGTGTTGTGCACCGCATTGTTCACGCGACTTGTACCGCGACAAAAATAATGCGCAGGAATGCATGACGTCGTGTTATTGCCATTCGTTATATTAATGTATACGATCGAATCGAATAAACTTGTTGACACGCGTCGGTATCCGAATGAATCATCATCAACGAATTTAAAATTACGTTTAATACTTACCCGTGTACTATACGCATCATTGTAGATACTTACGTTTGTGTAGCGTGTACGTAACTGTTGTACGCGCATTGGATGCGCACATAATATCTTCTTCTCCTCCGCTTTTCTCTCCGACTACTTGGGGTCGGCCGCCCTCGTCCTTAACCTCCACTCGTCTCCGTTTTCTACATCCTCTACTCGCACACACCAACAGCCCTTATATCATTCTCAATCGTATCCGACCACCTATTTTTTGGTCCTGTTCTTTTTCTCTTCCCTTCAACGTTCGTTTTCATAACCACTCTTACTGCTTTTATTTCCTTTCGTCTCATCACATGCCCAAACAGTTGCAGTTTATTTTTTCTCATTTTTTCCACCATCTACACCAATACACTACCTACTTCACACATATTCGTTCCTTATTCTATCTTTTCTTATCATTAATATACAGTAGGTACGTAGGAAACGGATTGGTACCCACGAAAACCCACGAAATAAACGTTTAAAAATTTCTCGTTAAAAAAAATACCTTTGATACGTTACAAAATATTTATTTTTTTTTTAAAAAAAAATTATTCTCTGAAAATTGAAAATTGTTTTGCAAAAAAGTATGTTTGAAAACTTAAAACTTTTAATAACTCCCGTTGTTGTTTAGTCGATTTCATCAATATTATTATTATTATTTGCCAATAATATTTCAACAGGATGTGTTGGTTTACAATACACCTACAAACCCATATATAAAAATATATTTTTCGTCATCAAATTCATAATTATCAATTTACCTTATTGCACTGGATGATAAAAATAAATAAATCTACTATAAATGACAATTATGAAAAATAAAATAAAAGTTAAAATACACTGAAAATGTAAAAGAAAACTGTGTGTTATTTAAATAAGAATGATTTAAATCGTACGTATTACTTATCAAATATCTAATATATTATTTTAGTAATTATATGCGTTTAAATATACATTCATTTTTTAATTATATATTTGCACAATATAATATATATATTAAGGAAAAATATTTTTTAAATTTTATAATTTTCTTTTCTTTACCTAATTCTGTATGAAAAAAGACTGTACCTATGTACACACCATATGTATTCCACTATTATACAAAGTTGGGCATTAGTCGAATAAAATATTATTCGATTGATTATTTGAATAAAAAATTATTTTTCATTGATTTATTCTTGATTTTACTATTGATTTTTATTTTTATTCATTATTTTAATTTGTATTATTATTCGTTGTTCGTTATTCCTTATAATCATATAAATAATAAATTTAAATCTTAAATAACGATGTATAATAATAATAGACTTATTATTTAGACTTAAATAATATATATAAATGTAATATATATTAAATTTATATTTAATATCATTTATGATTTTAACGAATAAATTTATTCTGAATAATTGTTTTATTCACGAATAAAACTGTTCAGAACAATTTTATTCCTTATTCAGTACACCACAATTATTCAAAATAAAAAAATTATTCTTTATTCATAAATTAATTAATTATTCTTTATTTTGATTTGTTTTTGCCAAACTCTGTTGTACACGCATTACATTATAATATACATTTACCGCAGCTGCAGCGTATTTAATATATTCTATTATTTTTCACGATTTATAAATTATACAAACTAATTCAATTCAAAACCTTTTATTTTATATATAAAATATATGATAGTATTAATAACTATACAAGTCTAAACGAACATAGTTTTAGGCCATAAACATTTATTTTGGTTGTGTGCATGTACGCGTGTCGGTGTGTATACGGGGGGAACGGAACTGAGACTCATAAGCTCAAAATATGCCGTTGAGTATATAAATTGCCATTTGGAATACACTATTTACGAATTATATTGTACGCCCGACCCATTAAAACAACATTAAACTCGAAGGAAAAAACGTTCTCCTTGCACACACTCACGCACCGTGTAGTCATTTATTCGATTATGTATTGGATTTAAGTGGCACGTGCGAAGGAAATAGTATTTTGACAAAATTGAAAAATATTTTTTTTACTGCGAACGAAAACCCGTCCAATAACCTAAGGTTTTTCCATTCCCTCTCCCCTCCCCCGGTAAGTTTATTCCGAGATTTTAAATTAGTAGTTTTAACGAATAAATGGAAACTTTTCTCGTTTATACGTAAATATTGTTGACTGTAGGCATATACACTAACCAGCTGCGCAGCTATATAGTATAATTCTCAGTAATTTATATAAGTTTCACGAAACGCAGTCGTTAGAAATGCAGTCGGCAACATAAAATGATGGCACCACGTTTCGTTAATGTTTAATACAAGGTACGCAAGCGCAAACGGATAAAATAATCTTGTTTATACATTGCAATTTATTCGGTTATAAGTTTCTGCAAGTTGTGTACAATATTAACTCACTCGACATTTCATGATTCGAACACCATGTACGCACTGAAACATGATTGTAATAATAACTAAAACATGCATAGATAATTGTTCCTCCAAAACGCGATTTCAAATGAGAATACAACCGATAAACAAATTAATTTATAATTATACTAAGGATATATCTCCGTATGGTTTAACTATGTTTAATTAATAATTTATGTTTCGTGAGTTTGAACTCACGAAGATATTAAAAAAAAATTTAAAAAATATTTTAAAATCTTGTAGACACGTGTCGATGTCCGAGTTAAACGTTTGACGTTTATACAAAGTTGTGTTCGAATAGACCAATAACTTTTTATCATTCCTATAAATATTAACATATATTATGTATTATGCAAGAATGATCGTAATTTATATTATTTCTTGACAACGAAACTATCATCAACCTATGTATCAATGTTTATAGCAATAGAACACACAACCTTAATTATTATCGGT